GAAGGGCTAAGTCTATAAAGTTAGTCATTGTACAACACAGCTGTTACTGTGTACCATGTTCTCCTGGTTCTGCTCACTTCACTCAGCATCAGTCTAGGTTTTTCTGAAGTCCACCTGCTCGTCATTTCTTATAGCACAATAGTATTCCATTACATTTGCATACCACAACTTGTTCAGCCATTCCCCAATTGATGGGCATCCCCTCAATTTCTAATTCTTTGTCACCACAAAAAGAGCTTTTTTTGTACATGTGGGTCCCTTTCCCATTTTTTTTTGTTTTGTCTTTTTTTGCTAGGCAATGGGGTTAAATGACTTGCCCAGGGTCACACAGCTAGTAAGTATCAAGTGTCTGAGGCCGGATTTGAACTTAGGTCCTCCTGACTCCAGGGCCAGTGCTCTATCCATTACACCACCTACCTGCCCCCTCCTTTTTTTTCTATCCCTTTCCCATTTGCATGATCTCTTTGGGATATAGCCCTAGAAGTGCTATTGCTGGGTCAAAAGGTATGCACATTTTTATAGCCCTTTGGGCATAGTTTCAAATTGCTCTCTAAAATGGTTGGATCATTTCACAACTCCACCAACAATGCATTAGTGTTCCAATTTTCCCACATCTTCTCCAACATTTATCATTTTCCTGTTTTGTCATGTTAGCTAATCTGATAGGTGTGATGTAGTATCTCAGAGCTGTTTTGATTTGCATTTCTCTAATCAATAGTGATTTAGAGCATTTTTCTTTTTCTTTCTTTCTTTTTTTTTTTGGCTAGGCAATGGGGTCAAGTGACTTGCCCAGGGTCACTCAGCTAGTAAGTGTCTGAGGCAGGGTTGAACTCAGACTTGAAGCCTGGCACTCTATCCACTGTACCATCTAGCTGCCCTTAAGATCACTGTGACAACTGAGTGGGGAATGGGATGGAGTGGGGAAGAGATCTGAGACAGGAAGATTGATCAGCAAACTATTATAATAACCCAGGCATAAAGTGATGAGGGCCTGCACCATGGTGGCGGCAGTAACAGAGGAAAAGAGACACAGACCCAAGCTGTTGTTGTGAAGGTAGGATCAACAGAACTTGGCAAGACATTGGATGCTGGGGAGGAGAGAGAGTGATGGATCATCTAGGCTTCAAGCCTAGGTAACTAGGAGGATGTATGCACACATACATGTTATGTACATTTAGGTGCACATATGCATTGTGTACATATATGTTATGTATGTTTATATGTATATATACACACATATATATATGTATATAATTGGGGGAAGGGAAGATTGCTTTTGAGGGTGGTTATATCCTGTAATAAATGTGGATGTGGAGTTTCAGCATTATCTTTTATTATTTCTTGCCCTTTGAAATGTAGATTAGCTAACTAATCATTATTCTAAACTCTTGAGTGACTAATCCTTTTATTTTCATAGATTTCTTTCCTTTGAATGTTGCATCTTCTTTGGGGGGCACCAGGGATAACAAAAATCACGAAGCCCAGAGAAAACAAACTGATAGATCTTTTTTTTTTTTTAGATTAGATGTTCCTTTGTTGCCTTTTTGTACTCCCATGAAAGATAGAGGCTTTCATTTTCTGCTTTCTACCTGTTGACCGTCAATATGCTGACAGATCCCGGTATCTCCAGGCCACTTTCCCCCCAGGGCAATTGGCACAGGAAAGGGAATGGTGGAAACAACATAATTGAAACCAGCAAAGGCAGGAAGTGGCATCAAAGCCGAAACTAATGGTTAAATTTCGTTTCAAGCATTTATGCCTCAAAAATCGGCAAATGCTACAAATCAAGGCTTAATTTATTACTTTGCTGATTGTCTAGACTTAAGATATGATAGGGGCAGCTAGATGGCACAGTGGATAGAGTGCTGGGCCTGGAGTCGGGAAGACTCATCTTCCGGTGTTCAGACACTTACTAGCTGTATGACCCTGCAAAGTCACTTAACCCTGTTTGCCTCAGTTTGCTCATCTGTAAAATGAGCTGGAGAAGGAAATGGCAAATCATTCCAGTATCTTTGCTAAGAAAACCTCAAATGAAGTCATAAAGAATAGGAGTCAGACATGACTGAAAATGACTGAACAGCAACAGAGTGATGGAGAAAATGTTAATAAAGCAGATTAAATTAAAAGTATGTCCTGCTTTTTGGAGAGCTGGATGTTAAACATTTACTAGCACACTGCTGCCTGATGGCTGTAATCCAGGGGGGTGGAACCTGTGGCCTTCTAAGTCATTGGGTGCGGCCTTTTGACTGAGTCCAAGTTTTACAGAACAAATCCTTTTATTAAGGGGATTTGTTTTGTGAAGTTTGGATTCAGTCAAAGGGCCGCACTTGAGGACCTAGAAGGTCTCATGTGGCCTCAAGGCCATAGGTTCCCCACCCCTGCTCTAGCCCCCTTTTGCCAATCCTGGCATTGCTGCAGTATGAAGGCCTTTAGGGAGAGTGCGGCAGGCTTCATGCTGAGCTGGTATAGTGTGAGGTATGATGACAGGTGTATTGAATCTCTCCAGCCTTCAACTCCTCCCTCTCTCCCCTCCCGCAAACCCCTCAGCCACCTGGAAATCCTACCATGATTAACTCCTTCTTCTGGATTTAAGTATTGTTTTCCCCAGACTCTGATGCCTTGGAAGGGATGAGACTGACAAGACAGAGGCCCCAGTCAAAAAAAGACTTTAGTTTGAATCGTTCTTGTCCTTTGTTTTTGAAGAGGACTAGTGACATCGTGGTGATGTCTTGACTTACATGTGAATTGGATTGAAGTGAGGCAGAGTTGTACGAAGTCGTCAGCCTTGCTTTCTCTTCCAGTCATCTAAGTCCAGTGCAGGATAAAAGTCAAGGGGACTGCTGACGGCGTCTTTGATGCCTGACCAAGCTCTCAGTGGCTGCTTCCACCACCTTCAGGGCCGCTGGAACAAATTGTTCTCATCTGCCCAGTCTGCCAGGGGAAGTCTTCTCGTGCTTGGGGTAGAATCCCGCTAACTCACTGATAGGTTTGAAACCCTCAGTGACCCTCAACTGTGGGTTGGCCCATGCACCCCAGATGGTTTTACTGGGATGTAGCCTCCGCACATGCTCCAGCTTCTTGGAGCCACAGGTGAGAATTGGGTGACAGGTGGACACCCAAAGGTGATGAGCAGCTCTGAAGAGGGCTCACAAGCCCTCACGCCAGAAGTGCTGGTCCTCCCTGAACACCCTATTACACCTCTAGTGTGAATTAGCAATTAAAAGAACGTTGGGTATTATCATTATTTAATTTTCCCTTTCTACTGGGAAAGCTAGCTGACAGTAAAGAGCTGAGGAAAGAGAAGCTCTGGTTTAATAGGAGTGGAGCTGGTGGTGGTGAGATATAGGAAGGAGATGGGACATAATCGAACAATAGTGAGGAGGGAGGGGTCATAGGCAGCTGGATAGAGCACTGGACTCAGAGGCAGGAAGACGTGAATTCACATTTTGCCTCAGACACTTGTTAGCTGTATGACCTTAGGCAAATCGTTGAACTTCTTTTATCTGCCTCAGTTTCCTCATCTGTGAAATTGGGATAATAATAGCACCTACCTCTCAGGGCTCACAAGCAAGTCAAGACATCATCTGTAATGTCGTTGGTCCTCTTTGAAAATGAAAACGAACAATCACAAAGTGTGAGAATCAAATGAGGTAATATACATAAAGTGCTTTGCAAACCTTACAATGCTATATTAATGCTTTGAGAATGATGTCTGATGTGATGAAAAAGATCACTTTTGGGGAGGGAGGTTTAGGCATTTTGGATTCAACTGCTGGCTGTACCTCTCTTACTTTGGATGAGTTATTTCTTCCTTTCCTAACTCTAAGTTTCCAGCTGATTTTTAAGAGCTCTTGCAAATCTGGCATTCTGTGTTTTATGGATAATCACTCCAGATAGGGAATCACTGGGGAAGTAGGGAGATGCCTGGAAATTCCTGTTTGGGGATAGAAGAAACGAGGGTCACCAAGAGTCCTTCTTTTCTTTTTTTTTATTTTAGGCAATTGGGGTTAAGTGACTTGCCCAAGGTCACACAGCTAGTAAGTGTCAAGTGTTTGGTCTGAGGTCGGATTTGAACTCAAGTCTTCCTGACTTCAGGGCCAGTGCTCTATCCACTGCGCCACCTAGCTGCCCCCAACCAAGAGTCTTTCTTAAAGTAATAGGAGAGGGGGCAGCTGAGTGGCACAGCGGCTAGAGCATTGGCCCTAGAATGAGGAGGATCAGAGTTCAAATCTGGACTTAGAAACTTATCAGCTGTGTGACCCTGGGCAAGTCACTTAACCTCAATTGCCTGCCCCTACCAAAATAAGTAAAATTACAGTTATAGGAGAGATAGGCTTACTGCCTAGATGGCCCTTCTCAGGTATGATTCACAGTCTTTCCCAAATGATTCTTTCCTAATAGAATCAAATCCTAAATGACCCCAGGAATGAAGAACAGGCAGGACCTGGGCCTCCGTCCAGCTGAGGGGAGGAAGGGAACAAACATTTATTAAGTACTTATTGTACGCCAGGCACTGCACTGAGAGTTTTTCAAATATTATCTTGTTTGATCCTCAGAAAGTCCCTGGGAGGTGGAGGCCATTTTGATTCCCATTTTACAGTTTAGGAAACTGAGACAAACAGAGGTTAATTGACTGGCCTAAGGTCATCTAGCTGCCAAGTATCTGAGGCCATTTTTGAACTCAGGTCTTACTGACTCCAGGCATCTGGTATGCCATCTAGCCGCCTCAGTGGGCTGTGGATAGGAAGGCTACCTCTTTTAGGTCACATTGACCATTCATCTCTGATAATTCTGACCATTTATCTCCTTCAGTGAGACTCCCCATAGGGAACATTTATCTGGGCTGATAGAAAATCTTTTGTAGGGATCTGTAGCTGGCATCAGACCTTTTTCTAAGTAATATTTTAACAGCCCCATTGTCAGAGGCTCAAATAAGGAAGATAGGATGCCTCGGAGCCACTCTGTGCATGATATTGGGGGTGAAAAAAACATCCTGTAACCTTTGAAGCTTGAGCTCCAGTCAAGGCTGCTTCTAGTAACCTTTCTATGGTCATTCCTTCCACATCGCAGGGGTTAAGTGCATGGTGCCCGCCCATCCCCTACCCTCATCTGGAAAATCTCTGAAAAGTTTTTTGTTCCTTTGTACCAGAGAAGAAGTCAGAATTTCTTCTTTTTCTTTTATGGGGTGTTGATATAATACAAGATTATACGTATATTTTGTGCATTTCTGAGTTTCTAAACTTTTTCTGTGTCGTCTGCTGACCTCCCCTCATTGTTTTTGGCTTCTGCAAAACTCTCAAAATATTCCCATTTAATTTCTTATGTCGATCCACGACACAGCAAAACTACATTGGAGAAAGTTGCGACGTGGAAGGGATAACTGTACTTACTCGAGGTAAGTCCTAGAAACAACAGACAGGATAAGCAGTGGGAAGTGCACCCTCGGTCATGAAGTGAGGGGTGGTGGTAGCACTCTGGGACTCCATTGCTACTCCAGGACCAAGCAGGGGAGGGACAGAATTCAGTCTACCACAGGTCAGCTTCCTATCAACTCATCATGCCTACTGTCTAGATGCTAAACTCTGTGGTACCAAGGCTACTACAAGACGGCAGGTATTGGCTCCAGGGGACTCCACCTATTTATGGCTCTGTCCCTGGGAAACCTTCCATGGTCATCGTCATTCCCAGCCAACGTCCCCTTCTTCTGACCTGGAGTGTTGGATGTGGAGACAGGAGTTTTTGTTGTTCAGTCATGCTGGACTCTTTGTGACCCCATTTGGGGTTTTCTTGGCAAAGACACTGGAATGATTTCCTGTTTCCTTCTCTAGCTCATTTTCCAGATGAGGAAACTGAGGCAAACAATATTAAGTGACTTGCCTAAGGTCACATAGCCAGTAAGGGTCTGAGGCCAGATTTGAACTCAGAAAGATGAGTCTTCTTGATTCAAGGCCCAGCACTCTATCTACTGCCCCACCTAGCTACCTCCTGTCCTAGAGACAGGAGATCTGGGTTCAAATCCAAGCTCTACCCTAATTAGTTTGGCTGACTATGGGCAAGCTACTTCCTGTTTCTGAAGTTTAGCCTTTTGCAAGGTGGGGATGATAATAATACACTAAGGCAGAGGTTCTTAACCATTTTGGGGATCGTGGATTTCTTGTGCTGTCTGATTCTCAGAATAATGTTTTTAAATGCACAAAATACATAGGATCGCAATGAAACCAATTATGCTGAAATAAAGATGCACTCCCCGGCCCCCCCATCTAAGTTCAGGGATCCATGGAAATCTATCTACCTGCGGACCTCCTTAGGGATCCCTGGATCCCAGCTTAAGAATTCTTGTACTAAGTTCATGTGTGATCATGTGAAATTATTTTACCTAAGCCTCAATTTCCTCATTTGTAAAATGGAATCTACCTCACAGGGGTGTTATAAGTATCATGAAATGATATGATTTCTAACAGTTATTGAGCTATAATTTGTAATATCAAGTTGTTGGGGTTTTTGTTGTTGTTGTTGTTGTTGTTGAGATTTTATGAGGATTTAGACTTAGAATTCCTGGGTTCAAATCCTGACTCTGCCTCTCACTGACCTTGGGTAAATCCCTAGACTTTTCCAGCTCACAGTTTCCTAATAAACAATATGAGGGGGTGGACAAGATGACCTCTTAGTTCCCTTTCAGCTTTAAATCTATGATCCAAAAATGATGGTAGGATTATCATGAGGAAATATGCTTTGTTGACCTTAAAATATACTAGAAACATGAAGGTTTTTTTTTTCCTTTTCTTTCTAGAGAGGTATGGTGTGGTGGAAATAAGTCTGGATTGCGAATCAGAAGACCCAAGTTTCAGTCCTGACTCTGTCAGCTGCACAACTGGGGCTTGTTTCCTGTAAGATGAGGGGACTGATATGACTCGAGAGGACGGCAAAGGTCCTCTCTAACTCTAAGATCTTACGTTCTTCTTGTCTCTGGACCTCAGTTATCTTATCTGTAAAAAGGGCACTCCCTTGCCTACATCACGAAGGCCTTGTGAGGATGAGATGAAATAACAGGTTGGAAAATGCTCTGACACGTGGAAGGGGTCAGTACAAACGGACACGTAGCCATTATATTAACTGATGTTTTTATGGTTGATGAGACAAAGTGGAGACGCCAAGAGCCAGAGCTCTGGGTGGACAGGAAACAGTTTATTACCCATATGAACACAGATACTGGGGCGCACTGACGTACCGTTTGGATATTGTGAGACCCTGGAACCCACCCACTCATCCCTCGCCCCAAGTGCCTCTGCCTTTGTGTTTCCAGGTGGGGTCCAGCTCATGACAAATGTCCCCTTACTCTTGGCAGACTGCTCCTCAGCTGCTGATGGCTGGGCTCCTGCTGTCCTCTCTACCACTAAAAGAAACGTCCTACACGTAGATAAGCCAATACAAAATACAAAAAAGGCAACAAACAACCGGATGGGCAGTGTCAGGTGGGCTTGAGAAAATCCAGGAATTTCAAATCCTTTTTTTTTTTAACTTTTTTTTCCTTTAGGTTAAGACTTTTTAAATGAAGTGAATCTCAGACAGCAAAGCTTCAGAGTGTGCTGAGTCTGCTAATAAAAAGAGATTCTGGACCAAGGAGTAGAGGGTGGGATGGGGTCAGGGGGTGGGGTGGGAAGTGCCCTTAGAGTGCCTTGGTGCCCTGTGAGAAGATTCAGTCTTCCTGGAGTCCTGGGCCAGGCTGGAAACCCCGGGGGCCAGTTTGAGGCTGACCCATCACTATGTTGTGCTGATTCGGCTCAGCTCCTGCCGGATTGCTGTAAAGACAAAGGAAGAAATCGTTTCAGAAATCAGCAGAGGCTCCCCCAGGAGTCTCAGTGACGGTGTTACGGGACAGGACGCCGGACTTGGAATCCAGATCTGCTCAGTGGCTTTGGGCATAACATATCACCGAGTCTCAGTCTCCTCATATGTAAAATGGGGATGAGAACAGGTACACTACTTACCTCAGTGGGCTCTTTAAGGGAAAAGTGCTTGGCAAACTTTAAGGTGCTGTAGAGATGTGAATTGTTCTAGATCTAGAAGGAACTTCAGAATTATAAGCTCTAAGGTCAAGGCTGGAAGGAGTCTTAGAGATCATCTAGTCTAATCTTTTTGTTTTATCATTGAGAAAGCTGACCACATGGCTAGTGGACGTCAGGTCTAGTAGGCCCTATGTAGAAGCTAGCTGTTATTCTTGAACACAAGCCAGAAGGACCTTTGTTCGTAACTCCCTGAACTCTAAGAGCCGCCATAGGAGCAGAGACCTATCAGGCTGATCAAACACACCATCAGCTTCCTCCCTGGGCTCAGAACTAGCCCCTTGTCTATTGTTAATGCAGCTGGTGCCAGGGGAGCCTGGTGGAGCCAGGACAGAAAAGGGAAGGAATACTGGGTGTGTGGTGGGGAGAGTTAATAGTTTACTTTTACTGATTCCTTCTTCTCTGGATTCTGTATCTCTCCCCCTCTCCTTTTTCACTTATCAGCTCTCTGAATCTGATTCCCATAGCCAGGCAAAGCAAGTGAACATTACTTCCCTTGTCTTCCTCCAGCTTTGTTTGCCCAGGAACTGAATGAGCTCCAGGGGATCGATCTTGGGAATTGCAGAAGAAAAGAGAAGGGAAACTCCAAACCACTCATTCCCCTTCTTTTAGCTTAATCTCTTCATAATTCTGCATAAACCATAGTTGCAGTAGCAATGATAATGGTGGTAACGGTCCCAAATACCTTAAGCTGGGGGTGGGGAACCTTCGGCTTTGAGGCCACAAGGGGCCCTCTAGGTCCTCAAGTTCCCCACCCCGGCTTAAGGTATTTGGGACCATTACCCCTGTCTTAAGCCAACCCTCTCCTTATTTCTCCAAAACAAAAAAAACCAAACCAAAACAACAACAAAACCCAACTATTTCCAGCTCATACTTGTATAGTCCTTTCCTCTATTGTCCCACTACTTTGTGAGGGAGGCTGGGCAGAAATGATTATCCCCATTTTCGGAGGAGGAAATTTGAGGCTAAGGGAAGTGACACGACTTGTTCAAAGTCACACAGCTAGTAAGGGGGAGGGTCAGGACCACAGGAAAACTTCTCCTGACTCCCACCTCACCATCCTCTCCTCTAGGGATGCAGCTCCCTACAAGCTGCTTCTCCAGCTATGTGGGAAAACAGGCACCGGAGTGGAGAGGGATGGGACTTTTTTAAATTCTCTTCATTTAACTATAGACTGGTTTTTCTCTGTTGGGGTGAAGGACTTGGCTAGATAATTCCAGCTGGCTACCATCCTGGCTCTATCTTAGTCTTGGTAGCCATGATCATTTTTTTTTCTACACAAGGGCAGAGGTAGCACAGATAAAGTTACATGGTATATTCTAGTTAATCAATACACATTCATTAAACGTCTACTCTCTGTCGCAAACTGATTTCTATAGGATGGCTTATAATGAATTGTGCTGATCTTTTTTTTTCTTACTTTTTTTTTTCCTCCCACCACATTCACCTTCTGAAGTATGCTTTATTGAGGCTGATATAAGGAAGTTAATATGGAGAAAGACCAGGACTGATTGAAGAGGTGTTGGGACATCCTGGATTTTTCTAGTTACTGATTGATTATGTGACCTTGGGACAATTACTTCCTCATTGTGGGTCTCAGTTTTCTCGTTCACAAAATGAGTGGGTCAGACTAGATGATTCCTATTATTACTTCCAATTCTGACATTCTGTGATTTGTGCAACTCAAATGCTCCCTCTCTCAAGAAGCTTTTCCTCATGTTCACTGGCTATAGTAGAGCACTGGCTTTGCAGCTGAAAGACTTGGTTTGGAACCTGGGCTCTGACACTCCCTAGACCAATCTCTTTCCCTCTCTGCGCCTCAGTTTCCTCATCTGTAAAATGAGGGGTTGAATTAGAAGATGCCTCTTGCTCTGATCCCTGTGTTTTCTTTCCTCTGAGCCCCCTTTGTACTTAAAATCATTATCCCTCATTTGGTTCTTATTAATCTCAACCAGGTATTCTTATTCTTTGATACGTCCACCCCCTCGTCAGACTGCCAGCTCTTGGGGTAGGGGCCTTCTACCTGCTTCTTGGGCGTGGTGCAGGGCTGGGCTCATAACAGATTCGATAAATATATATTGATTGAACTTTTTGTTCTCCTGCTAATTCTCTTGACCTGTTTATTCAGAATTCTAAGTAGAGTTTGGGAGAACTCCAGCATGGGGCTTCTATTCTCCTCCTTCATTACATGTTAAAGCCTCTTCATTTCTTAGTTTCTTCAACTATAAAATGAAGGAGCTGAAGTAGATAGATGGTTTCTAAGATCTTTTCCAGCTCTGACAGTCTATGTTCTATGATTTTAACATCCCTCCCACCTCTAAGACCTTATAGCTTATGATCTAAGGTCATATCTGTGTTCTCTGATCCATGTCTGACCTTCTGTGGTTCTTGATTCTAATGTTCTGTCCATCTATGATATTTCTGTTCTAAAATTCCTTTCAGCTTTATGATTCTGAAGTCCCTTTCATTTCTTTTTGGAATATATATTTGTATTCTATCTATCTGCACACACATATAACATATATTACCATACAGTACATATTATATGTTATATATAACTATATAGCACATATACATTTATGAATATCTTCTGTTTTTGTGTTGACCACATTTCCTCTCTGCAAGTCTTCCTTTTCCCATTCCCAGAGAGCCATTCCTTTCATTTTTGACATTCTATGTTTTAAGATTCAAAATCCTTCCTACTCAGAAGGTCTACGGTTCTTCCCACTCATGGGCCAAACCTTGCCATATAGTTTTGTAGGAAACAGATCAAACCTATTCACCTGAGGCCCAATTTCTATTCAGTAGGACCTGCCTGGGGTCCTTACCATCAATGATTTCCTCTTTGACTTTGTGTAGTTCTCTAACCACTTCTTCCAGTATTTCCTGCATAAGATGGGAAAAAACAAAAACCAAAAAAAAGCCCAGAGTTAATTTGTGGCCATTCATCCTTTTGGCCTACTCTGCTTCTCCAGAAGAACAAGTTGGGCTTGGCACTGGGGATAGTGTGGGGTTTGTTTCCTTTATCTGAAAATGTGAGGCTTAGGATGGAAGAATCTAGGGATATCCCCATAGGGTGTGAAGGACCCAGGGTAGCTCTAGAAGTAAGAGGTCCAGAGCATCCATAAAGGATTGTTAGTACTCCAAGACTATATTTAGGAGTTATGAAGGACCTGAACACTTCCTAGGGGTTGTGAAGTGCTTAGGGTGTCCTTGCCCTTCCTTTTTAATCCATCTTTCCTTCCCTCCATTCCCCCCCAAAAAAAAATTAAAGTCAACACTGATGGCAGCTTCAAAAGAGAAAAGAAAGTCACTAAATGAATGTTGAAGAAGGGCAATTCCCTGCATGGAGAGGATTTCTTGATTTGTTGTGACAAGTCGATTGTACAACATTTAGTCTCCATGGGAAGAGACTCCTCTTTCTTCTCCTTTGTCTACCTCTTGAGTAGTGAGTGAGTCAGCCCCTGGTTTACCATAGCAGAAGGTGGGTGGAGCAGGGTGAGTTCCAGTTCCTGAATTATTCATTCTTATTCTCATTCTCTCATTCTCTCTCTCTCTCTCTCTCTCTCTCTCTCTCTCTCTCTCTCTCTCTCTCTCTCTCTCTCTCTCTCTCTCTCTCTCTCTCCTTTTCCTCCTCTTCTTCTTTCCCCTCCCTTTTGGGGGGGGTGAGTGGAAAGGACACTTACCTGTTTCATCCGATCAAAATCTAAGGCATCTAGAGCACCTTCATTGCCACTACCAGCAGGCTTCATCCTAGGAAGGGGAAGGGAGAGAGGAGGTAGAACAGGGGTAGAGGATAGGACCTCCTTCACAGGACCCCTTGAGGACCCATGGGCAGCCAATGTCCAGGACCTACACGCCCTCCTGTCTGTCCAACCTGATTGTTTCCAAGTACCAGTGAAAACAGGCTGCTCTTGTCCTGCCTTCTCAGGGCTCCAGGCTTTGATTCACACCATAGTCACATAGCTAGTGAATGGCAGAGCAGAGATGTGAGCCCA